TAAGCCTGACAACCCAAGTTTGATCCCCAGGATCCACATGGTGAAAGAAGAGAACCAATTTCTGCAAGTTGTCTTCTGACCTTCACATGTGTGCCATGGCACACACATGCCTATACACAAATAAATAAATAAATAAATAGATAGATAAAAACTAATTGAAACTTGCCAGGTGTGGTTGGTTACATGCCTGTAATTCCAGCATTTGGGAGGCAGGAGGATCATGAGTTTGAGGTCATCTTGGGTGAAAAAGAGATTCTGTCCCCCTACTAAGAAAGCAAAATTAATTGAAAATAATAAATAAATAAATAAATAGATAGATAAAAACTAATTGAAACTTGCCAGGTGTGGTTGGTTACATGCCTGTAATTCCAGCATTTGGGAGGCAGGAGGATCATGAGTTTGAGGTCATCTTGGGTGAAAAAGAGATTCTGTCCCCCTACTAAGAAAGCAAAATTAATTGTGGGGAAGGTTGCACAACTATACAAATATACATATACCTATTTATTTATTTATTTATTTATTTACGTTTTGGGGGGATTCTCCCTGTAGCCCCAGCTGGCCTGGAACTCATTATGTAGTTCAGAGATCCACCTATCTCTGCCTCGGAAGTGCTAGGATTAAAGGTATGCCACCATGTTCAGCTAAAATATACTTTTAAGAACACTAAAATATACATTTTAAATAGATAAACTGCATCTCGTGTGGTATACCTCAAAAGAAATGTTACCAATAAACAAATTAGGTGACTGTGCCTGATACTCTTATGCTTGGTATTTCAGTTCTAGACTGAACCTGCAGTCACCAGCAAGGCTGAGTTTCATACCTACACTCAGGCTGGTTTCCCAAAGCCTTTTAGGCTAGAGTTTTTATCTGACTGATTTCACTGTTCACTTATTTTCTAGGCTAATCCATGTTCTAACATGTATCAAAACATGGGGCGGCTTTCCATTTAGTTTTCTTTCCTCCTCTCCTTTCACTCTTTCCCTTCTTTCTTTCTGCCCGCCATCTCTTTTCCCCTTCTTTCCTCCCATCCTCCTTCCTTCCTTTCCTTTGATGGTGGTGCTGATGGTTGAACCCAGAACTTTCTATATGCTAGGCAGGCACTCTATAACTTAGTTAAACCCCCTGGTCTGTTTGTATGTTTATTGAGAAAGGGCTTCACTATGTAGCCCAGACCGCCCTGGAACTCACTACATAGCCCAGGCTGGTCTCAAACTTGAGATCAATCTCTCTAGTGTTAGGACTGCTGGTGTGTACTACTGTGCCTGGCCTTTAAATTTTAATTTCTTTCATCAGTGTTTTGTAGGTTTCATTGTATAAAATTTGGGTCTCCTTTTAAATTTGCTCTGAAATGTGTTATTTTTTGATGAATGTGTCTTAATTTTGCTGCTAGGGTAAAAAATACATCTAATCTTTGATGTTATTTGTGTGTGTGTGTGTGTGTGTGTGTGTGTGTGTGTGTGTGTGTATGGATGTTGGTGTACATATGTGTATGTGGAGGCCACATATCAACCTCTGGTGTCATTCCTCAGGAGTCATCTAACACTGTTTTATTTGAGACAGAGTCTTTCATTGGGACCTAGAGCTCATCAATTAGGCTAGGCTGGCTGGCCAGGGAGCCCCAGGGATGCACTATCTTCAACTCTACAGTGCTGAGATTATAAGCACATACACCCACACCCAGCTTCTTTACGTGGGAGCTGAGGATCCAATTCAATTCCTCACGCTTGCATAGCAAGCACTTTTTGAGCCGTCTCCACAGCCCCTGTATACTATTCTCGTGTCCTGCAACTTTCTATTTAGTTCTAACAGCTTTTCATTTGCTTGTTTCTTTCTTGTGTGTTTCCTTCAGACAGGGTCTCACTGTTAGTCCAGGCTGACCTGAAGCTTACAACCCTCCTGTCTCAGCCTCCAGGCATGAGCTCTACCTTCTGTCTTTGCTGGTGTTCTACTTAGCTCTATCTCAAACATTTGCTTTTCTAAAGTAATTTTTTATTTGTAGTTAGGTGGGTTTTTTGTTTTGTCTCGCTAATTTTGCTATTTTGTTAAGATGAGACCAGAAATATAGAACTCCAATGACCTCCTCAGGCATGTCTGCATTTATCCCAAAATATGAAGAAAAACAGCTGCAAGCTGGAAAAAGCCTCTGTCATTAAAACCCTATGTGAGGACACTGGGAATCTAAATTGTATCTTTTCGCAGTATAATAAATATATTTGCGTGGAATTAAACTTTCCCTTCAAAGTAATATTTAACATCACTTAAAAAAAATCTGACTAAAATGCTGATAGAAAGTGAAAGGCAGGCACGAGTGGCAAGACATGACAGTAGTCCAGATGTGAACCAATGAGGGCATACACAATGGGAATGGGAAAACTCCATAGAAACCAAAAGACATAAGCCACATACTTAAGCTTTCCATTTTAAGTAAGGATATTTTCATTCTTAATCCAGATGATACCTCAACGAAGCACAGAACCTGGATTTAAGAAGGTGGTGTAGTGTGACAAGGTGGATAAAAGTGGGTAAAACTGCTTAGTACATAAGCCTGACACTCTGAGTTCAATCCCTGGAACCCACAGTAGAAGGAGAGAACCAGCTCCTGAAGGTTGTCCTCTGACCTCCACACATACTCTGTAGCATACACCTGCCCACACTCAGAATAAATAAAATAAAAATTTAAAGGTGCTCATTGAAAAGTACTAGAAAATTGGCTAGTCTTTTAACATAACAAACTTATTTTATCCCAGGGATACTCAGCCAAGTTCAGCATTGACTTTGAGAATGTGTTCTTGAAATTCAGTGTAAGACCCACTTTGAGGGCTAGGTGTGGTAGCACACACCTTTAATTCCAGCTCTAGGGAGGCAGGGACAGAGGTGGGGGAATCACTGTGAGTTCAAAGCCAGCCTGGTCTACATAGAGTTCCAGGGATACACAGCAGGATTCTGTCTTTTAAAAAAGACTCATTTTGAATATAAGATACAAAGTAAGTTATGACAGTTGGCACTTGTTTCAGAAATTGCTCATGTGGGATAAAAGAACCACATGATTACCTGATAGCCTTCTGTTTTCTTCTGACACCACTTCAACAGGGCATTCCTCTTAGAGCCTCCATATTCTCTTGCCAATGCTGATAGAGGGTCCTTCCTTTCCTCCCTAATTTGTGAAAACAAAGAACCACAAATTGAAATAATTTTCATTTAAGTACTATAAAGAGAATATAGCATTTTAAAACAGGATAAATACACATAACTAAGGACATTCTACAGCAAGACATACTTTTTTACTTGATTTTTACTTTATGGTCCCACAGACCCACAGCTGTCAAGGCTGAAGGGAGGACCACTACTCATCATCCACATGGAAGAGACAGATTCTGTATCAAGTGCATTCAGATGAGAGGATGCAGTCTACAGTGGTCAAAAGGAATGAGGGAGACAATCTGACCCTAGCGGCATCTAAAATTATTCTGCTGCCTTTTACTCAGTCTCAGCCTCCACAATCATGCTCTGGTTTATATCACTCCTTTTTTATCTTCTTGTGTTCTTAATTCTTTCATTAATTTCAAAATCACTCATTGTAAGTAGGAAGGACACGGTTATGCCAGGATTCTAAAACATAGTTTCTGCTTTATAAAGTTCAAAATCAGGAGAACAGGCAAGAGGGACAAGAGACACAATAAATGCTACAAATATCTATCATAAGCCTGGCCTGATGGTACAGGTCTGCGATCCCAGCTATTCCTAGGTTGAGGAAGGATGACTGGAAAGCTCAAGGCCTGCCTGAGCTACAGTGAAAGTTTTAGGATAGCCTGGTCAACTTAGCAAGATCCTGTCTCAAAACAATAACAAACCCTAAAAATAAAAACAAAAGGGCTAAGGATGCAGTTCAGTGGTACAGAGTACTTCCCTAGCATGTTCAAAGCTCTAGTTTCAATGCCCAGTATTGTGAACAAACAAAACAAAGAATATGTATCACTTCCATAAAATATTAAGTATGTTTGTTACTAAATGGTATACTCTGATTTTTTAAGATGAAATCTCAAAAATATGATGTCCAGGCTGGGTTCAAACTCCTGAACTCAAGTAATCCTTCAGCCTCATCTTCCTGGGTAGGACTACAAATGCATTCCACTGTGTCTAGCAAGTTATATACTTTTTTGGGGGGTCTTTTTGAGACAGGGTCTCCCTGTAGCCCCAGCTGGCCTAGAACTCGCTATGTAGACCAGGCTGGCCTCGATCTCACAAAGATCCGCCTGCCTCTGCCTCCTAAGTGCTGGGATTAAGGGCATGTCCAGTATGCAAACTGTATACTCTTACTGTCTCCAGGATATTAAATTTTTTCTGTGTACAGAAATACAACTTTTCTGCACACTCACTTATTTGATGTTATTTTTCAGAGAAGCACTGTGCCAGGCAGTGCACAAGTGCTAGACACAGATTCCCTGTCCCCTCAAGGAACTTCAGAGTTCATAACACAGACATATAATGGACATACTATACAAGCTTGGCAAGGGGGAATCGAGATGGGGAGGGCATGTAGCTCAGTGGTAAAGGGCACTTGTCTATCATGCAAGGTCCTTGCTTTGTTTTCTAGCATATCAAAACAATTTTTAATTGAAAAAAAAATCAGTGCCCCTACATAATTCATTTAAAAATGTTATATAAAGTACATAATGACATTATAAACTGCTTTGTAAACAGAGTAAGTATTCTGCCCTAAAGCAAACACAAACAAGACTCTGTAATCAACCCCGATGATGGGGCCCTATCCATTCTGCACCAAGTCTTTCCTTTCAGCGGCTTCTCTGGAGGTGGAACAGGGCACTAAGGAAGACCTACAGGAAGAGAATGTTTGCAACTACTTGGCAAGTAGCTTGCTCTGAAAGATGGGTCTACCTTCCAGTGGTTATTTTTAGAGCAAAGATTCCAGTTACACAACCACACGAACTTAATACCCCAACACATGTTCTAAAGGCAATGCTAGTATTTCTTAACACATGCATTCTGACAACAGTCACACTTCATAGTATGCTATGAAATCAAAGAGAACACATTCAGAACAGAAGCTCTTCTGAGAGGTACACTGAAATAGTATCAATTTTTATTCATTTTAGATCTAAAAACAAAATACCAATTATTTTTCAGTGTATTTAGACTGCTGTTTTCGTGCCAAGAATGGACTTCTTCTTTTGGAGCTGTTGACCAGAGAAGTCCCATAGATCCTCAAATAACACTGGCTATTCCCACTGCATTTTGTTTCCCACCAGAACTGGATGGTCAGACTCTATTGCTGAAGACACTACCTATCTGAGTTGCAGAACAAATGAGAAATCAAGCTGGTACTGACTCTGAAGCTACATCTCTGCTGGCTAGCTTTCATAGTACTAGAAGGTGCTATGCAAGTTACTAACAAAGAAAGACAATCATCAGCCTTGCCCAGCTGTGAACTCTGAGAGCTACAGTGGCAACTGGCCTGACAAAATATGCCCACTGGTGCAATAGTGGCACCAATATTATGGGGATAACCAGTCTCCTTCTACTTCACAACTGGGAGTCCATACCTGACACTGTTATCAGGGCAAGAACCTGTAGCTAGACAAATCAGTAGTAGAGTCTACTACTATCATTCTACTAAACAGGCTTAATATTAAACTGACTCACAATGATTTATTGTTATATCCACAGATAAGTTCATTCCTCAACTCCCACCAGAGAAGGTTCTTCTTGTAGCAGATAGAGATTAACACAGAGACTCACAAACTGTCAATGTGCAGAAAATAAGAGACTGCAGACCCAGACCAATGGGACACCTATATTGCACCTTCTCCTAAGGCTCAGTGATCACTGCAGAAGAGGGAGTGGAAACACTGTAAGAGCCAGAGGTGGTAGATAAATAAAAGGAAACTGTGTTGTCTGGACACCAAAGGGTAGTTAGTTGCACATATGAACCCATAGCACCCCAGTTTGGGGCTACAGGGAGGCCCTGCTCAAAATTAAGTAAATAAATTAATTAATTAAAATTTAAAAATTAAGTTCATAATTTGAGTTTGAGAGGCTTTTAAACTTTATTTTCAAACCTAAAAAGTAATACATAGCTAAATTTCAGAAACTTTCCTCTCTCTCCTTCCCTTACTTTCTTAGTGACTGTCAATAGCTGTTCCCCCCTCCCCCATCCCTATAAAAAATATATGCTGAATTTCAGGCATCTTTTCCCTATTTTTTTTTGTTTTGTTTTGTTATTTTGGGGGTCAGGGTCTCACTGCATAGTCCTGGTTGGCATGGAACTCACTACGTAGACTAGGCAAGACTCAAATTCAAAGAGATTCTCCTGCCTCTGCTTCTGCCTCATGAGCGCTGGGATTAAAGGCATGCCAAGTCTCTCTCTAAACTCTTTTTTTTTTCCTAATGTGTATGTGTGTATTGCCTGCATGCAGGTAAGTGCACCCATGTCATACAATGCCGGCGGAGGACAGAAAGAAGCTGTTGGATCCCCTGGGACTGGAGTTATGGAAAGTTGTTAGTGGCCACGTGGGTGCTAGGATTCAAACCCAGGTCTTCTGGAAGAACAGTCAGTGTTCAAAGAACAGTCAGTGTTCTTAACTGCTGAGCCATCTTTCCAGCCCTTTTTAAACTCTTAATAACAACTTAGTCTAAAGTAACTTCTGCCAAAAGTGAATTATGAATAAAACATAAATTCATTTGCAGGCATTGCTTAACAATTATTAACACAGCATCATGTCCCTTGACATCCAGTCTAAACAATCAGAGCTACCTTTGATATCTACATGTTTGCATTCCCTTGACAAAAATCTGTTGCTGAAATCATCTTTGCCTCTGAAAAATCTCCACCCAGCCCTGTATTCAGCTCTCTAACTCTGTTATCTCCCTGATCCAGACCTGACTTTGGCCTATAGTACTATAATATCCTCTTAGCTGGCTTCCACAACTTTCTTCCAGAACACCCTTTAATCATCTTCAATTTATTTACTCCACTTTTTACCTTCTCAATTTGACCTGAAAGCGGTTCTATTGCCTATTATTCAATTATGCCTTCCACTGCACCCTGAAATAGTAGGGACCTCTTCTTCTGGTCCTGTGTTTGTTTCCTGAATTGGCAACATCTCCTACCTACCACATGCCTGACCACATGCTTATTCATCTTTTTTGCAAATTCACTCAAGTTACTCACCTTCCCAACAATGCCCCTATCTCCAATACTCAAGACTCTACCCAGTTCGTCCTTTCTAGGAAGCCTCTCTAATACTCTACCAGGACACCCAGGGATCAAATTTCATAACACAGGTCAAGAACCTCTTATCTGAGATACTTGGGACTAGGAGTATTTCAGATTTCAGGGTCTCCCCTCTCCTCTCTCCTTTCCTTTCCTTCAACAGCCTCACTATGTAACCTAGGTTAGTCTCAAATTCATAATCTTCCTGCCTCCATCTCCTGAGTCCTGGGATTATGGGCATGTACTTCTACATGCAGCTTCTCTTCTCTTCCCTCCCTCCCTCCTTCCTCATTCATTTAGTCATTCTACCTTGGACTGAACCCAGGGCCTTTACAAATACTAAGCAAGTGTTCTAGCACTAACTTACAATCACTCCCCTTCCCAACCCCAGATTTTGGAACCTTTGCACTGAATCCACAAGTTGAGCATCTCTAATTCAGAAATGCAAAATCTAAAAACATTCTGACCATCATGGGATTACTCAAAAGGTCTTGTACTTTGGATTTTCAGATTAGGGATGATTAATCTATACTTTTATTCACTTAACCATTCTCTAGTTTTAAAAAAAATCACAGCCTTTTAAGGAAAGGCTCCATTGTGGAGGCTTTGTTTGTTTTTGTCTTCTTCACACAGAAAAGGAGATGAGTCAATACTTAATACAAAAAGGAAAAAAGAGTACTCAGATGGAATTAATTTGTAAGCTGATCATTCTCTCTAAAAGGCCAGGAAAAGTACAGAGGAAATGTTTTCTACCTTATTCGGCTCCGGGTGGTTGGGGTCACAGATGCTGTGGGAGAAGAGGACAGGGAGAGCTGTGGTGATGTGGTGCCCATAGCCATAAGAGAGGCTGGTGATGCGCCCTCAGATGCAGAGATGTCCCGTTTCATTTCTTCACTACTTCGTCGAGATACTGTGAGAAACAGGCATTGTGGAATGTAAACTAGTCCAGCCACTATTGAACTCAGAATGGAGGTCCGTAAAAAACTACAATTATAACTACCAGCTATACCACTCCTGGGTATTTGCCGAAGGACTCCAAGTCAACACATCACAGAAAAACTTGCACATCAATGTTTACTGCAGCATTATTCACATTAGCTAAGCTATGGAACAACAATAGAGGAATGGGACAAGAAAATGTGATATATCAACACAATGGATTTTTTTTCTAGCCATAAACAAGAATGAAGTGTCATGTGCAAGCAAATGGATGTAACTGGAAATAATCACATTACATGAATTGAGTCAGTCTCACAAGGACAAATATATGTTGTCTGTTGTTTGCAGCTCCTGATATATAGGTACATATAGCACAAAGTGCAACTCTCTAGGGAATAAAAGGAACTAATGGGGGTGGGAGAGAAGGGCAGGGGAGGAGGTCACAGAGGGATGAATATGCTCAGTGTACAGTATCTTCACATGAAAATGTCCTCATGTAACATTGTAACATGTACCATGAACTTTTTAATTAATAAAGAAAGGTTTAGGGACATCTCAGGACACTAACTTTGCATAATGGGCCTTAACACAAACAACAGAATGTATGAGCTCCAGTTGGAGGGGTTATGGGACCGTGCCAAAGGGAAGGGAGACGGGAGTATAAAGATGTTTTTATGTATGAAATTCAACTTTAAAAAAAAAAAAGAGAAAAGAAAAAAACAAAAACAAAAACAGGACAGAGCTGGGCATGATGGCTCATGTAATCTCAGCACTTGGGAGGCTGAAACGAGACGATCACTATGTATTCAAGACCAGCGTAGGCTGTAGAGTAAGGGCTTGTCTAAAAAAAAAAAAAAAAGGAAAGCTGGTATGGTGGCGCACACCTTTAATCCCACCACTTAGGAGGCAGAGGCAGGCAGATCTCCGTGAGTTCAAGGCCAGCCTGGGCTACATAGCAAGTTCTAGGACAGCTGGGGCTACAGGGAGACTCTGTCTCAAAAAGACCACAAAAAACAAAAAAAACAGAAGGAAAAACTGCCATTATGTTTGTTAAACCATTTAGTGCCTTTTATTAATACTAAAATTTGGAAGTATTTTTTTTTAAAAAAAGATTTAAACACTCTGGAAAAGGAACTAGAGACGGTTCAGTGGTTAAGAGCACCAGCTGTTCTCGGAGAGGACCTGGGTTCAGTTTCCAGCACCCACACGATGACTAACAGCCATCTAAACTCTAGTACCAGGGGACATGATGCCCTCTTCTGATCTCAGGCATTGTACAACACAGGTGCAGTCACATACATGCAGGCAAAGCATTCATACACATAAAATAAAATAACTTGGAAAGGAAATATCTTGGAAAGATGAAAAGTTATTTCTTGACTTATAGATGATTTTCATAAAGAACATACTTTATCAAATACTTTTTAAATTAATAATTTATTAATTATATATTGACAAATCCTAACTATGTATCTTTACAGGGCATAAAGTGATAAATGTTTTAAAATTTTTTGGTTTGAGTTCTTGAGATAGTTTCTTCTGAAGATTTCAAAAGAATAAATACTACCTTATAAGAGAAAAAAATAATTTCATCTTACTGATGACTAGAGAGGATTTAAATTTCATTAAAAAACATCTGTAAGTCTGGGAGTACCGATTCATTCTAGAATCCTAGTACTTTTGGGAAGCTAAGGCAAGAAGACTGCCATGAGTTTGAGGCCAGCCTGGACTCCATGGTAGGCCAGGGCCAGCCTGGCTACAGAGTGAGATCCCATTTTAAAAAATAAAATGTTAAAATCTGTGAAAAGGTTAGTAGTGGAAACATCCACTGAACCACACCCTCTCTATAAATAACTGTCTTGTCAGTTTAACAGTCACGGTATCTACCAGATACACAATAGATACTATACAAACTTCTGTTCACTTACAAACACAATACTTACAACTATTCACCCCTACTCAGCACCCACATTTAATTGTTAATTTTAGTATGAACATATCCCTTCTAACTATAGACAAAACACTGCTAAAGAGACAAAGAAAAGAAAGATGCTTCATTGTAGAGTTAGATGCAATTCTGGGTCAGGCCACATTTAAAAAACAATCAGTAGGACAGAAAATGAAAAGGTATCAAACCAACTGTTGTAGAAAAGTCTTATTTTGAAGGTCTGGTATTGTAAAATACTGCATCTTATTAAAATTACAGAAAGTTCTTAGTATTGTTAAGTGGAAGCAGCCACTTTGGCTTCTAATAAGAAAGCCAAATAAAAAGCTTTCTAGAGGGTGGCACAGAGGTCTGAACTGGGTGCTAACTACGCAGGGCTGAGCGGTAAGACTGAGGCACCAGACAAGACAAAGTCCTTGACACTGGACAATTCTCTCTTACCTGCATGAACTGATTTTAATATAATCAATGTTTCACATCAATAATTGTTTCTGACTACTAAAATGGGCTCCCTTTTACTGGGTTTTCTTTTCCCTCCATTTTCTTTGAGATAGGGTCTCACTATGTAACCCACACTGGCCTGAACTCTCTGAAATCCTCCTGCCTCAGTCTCCCCAAGCAGTGCAATTATAGACATGTTCTGCCACACTCAGCTTTGGCCAACACAGTCTGGATGGATTTAGGATAAGCACAGATAACATAATACTGCATTAGTGGAGTGGAACCCTTAAAGATCCAGAGAGGAGAGATGCTTTATCCTAATATGTGATCTTAGAATGATATACTTACATGTTTTTAGCATAATTTATTGCTATTCTTTTTAAAGTACTTTTTATGTCTTAAATCAGGAAGGTTTTTTTGTTGGCTTTTTTTGTTTGTTTGTTTTGGTTTTTGGTTTTTTTTGGTCTTTTTGAGACAGGGTCTCCCTGTAGCCCCAGCTGGCCTGGAACTCACTATGTAGACCAGGCTGGCCATGAACTCACAGAGATCCACCTGCCTCTGTCTCCCAAGTGCCAGGATTAAAGGCGTGTGCCACCAAGCCCAGCTAGTAATTTCTTTTTTTTCAGTGGGATCCTAAGACACAAGATGACAAAAATGTCTCAATATTTTACATAAATGAGAGAAAACAGACTGAGGAAGACTATGAAGAACCCTCTTTACCCCCTTTTATAAAAGCACATATAAAAAGGCTTTAGGACCTGGGTTTGGGGATAGTAATGTTAGTTGATCACAAAATGCCCCATGGACTGAGGGACCTAGCTATGATGTGAAAACTTTACTAAATAATGATCCACAGGAAACAGAAGATAGTAACTCTTCATTATGGAAAGCTGGAAAGCAAAGGGGGAGAGGAAAGAAGAAAACTACAGGTGCTTGCTTCATGCAAAGGGGGACATTAACTAAGTCATGGCAGAACTGCTGGGATTACTCCTTTCAAGAGCCAACATCTATTTAAGCCAAGCCTTCAAAGTCATCATAGGATGGCTTTATCATACTAGCAAGCTTTGCTTCCAGAAAGTTTTTGGTGGGTTTTGAAATAACTCTTCAAAGTCAGTCAATGTATACCCAACTCTCAACTTTTCATGTCCTCTATTACACTGTAGGCAACTTAAAAAATCTAGAGTTTTTTTTTTTTTTTTAAAGAAGTTTTGATCAGTCATTACCTGAGATGGTTTTGGCACTTTCCATAGCAGGGACTCTTGGGAGAGAAGCAGGTCGGCTAGTTGAAGATGTTCTTAACAGATGTTCTAAACAAAGTGGAAAGGTCACAAAAAAGAAACCTTAAGAATGCTGAGGTAGTAAAAGTACAAGAAAGGAGTGTTTTGGTCCTCTCAACCTTGAGGCTCATTCTTCCTCCTATTTCAAGTCACTTCAACAATTCCCCCCAACAACTTGCTTGATGTTCCAATATATGTTCCCTTTCTCTTACAGAGGAGTAACAAGGTACCCTTAGACTTTATCAATTTGGCTCAGATCTTAAAGAGGTAAATCTCTAACGGTTTTCTGTACTCAAGCCTGGCCTAAAGTAAGACTGGAGGATAACAAGTTGCCTCTACTGGAAATATCAATCACAGTATTATATTATCCTACAACTTCATACCTTTATAGCAAGGATGTTGTCTGCCTCCATTTCAGGTACCTGCAAACAGATTTTTCAGTACAGGCTTCCAAGTCTAGCCAGGGAGGGTCTCAGGGTAGACACTGGTAGAGGCAGATACTTCTGTTGACTTGAGCCCCTTATGGATCATGGGTGCTGGCTACATTCACCCATGACTTAATAAAATTTTAGAGTTATCAGAGGGTGACCCTTCAAAATCAAGTGTTCTATCCTTTATAAGCCTATAAAAAGTAAGAAAATGTTTTCTGACACTTGTCAATTCCTATTCCCAATGTAACATCCAACAGATGATAAGACTCATCTGGACAAACCTATACAAGGTTATAAGGAGGATAGATGCTTTGGGTCTAGCCTGCCATCACTGGACTCAACAGCAAGTCTCCTATATAACACATACCAGAGATACAAATGCCTTTTGTGTATGTATTATATTGGCAAACTGCATGCACTATTTAAGCTCACAGAGAAACTGGCTCTGGAGATGATATTTGGCTCTTCTACTTCAGACCTAAGCGTGTTTGTCTCAAAGTATCCTCCAAAACTCTAGTCCTGAGTAAGACTGAACCCCTGACTCTCTGACAGGGGAAAAAAAAGAGAACAAAACAGCCAAGCATTTGCCAAAGGGCAAACCACGTCCAACAGATGTTACCATTGTTTATCTCACAATATGAAGATGTCTATAATAAAAGCAGCTAATAAGATGCTCATTCATAGAGGTCAGAGAAAAGTCTCAGCTTAAAAATCTTCAACAGGCAACTCTAGCATCACAACTTTTATCCCCACTTTTATTTATTTAAATATATTTTTATTTTTGTTTGAGTATTTTGCCTGCATGTAAGTGTACCCATGCACACAATGCCCACAGAAGCCAGAAGAGGGTGCTGGATCCCCTGAACCCAAGGTACAGGTGTGGATGTTGGGAACAGAACCCAAATCCTCTGCAAGGGCAGCCAGTGCTCTTAACTGAGCCATCTCTCAAGTTCCCAGCATCAATTTTCACCCAGCTTCTTTAGTTCATTTCTGCTGCATGGTGAAATATCAATTTGATGACGTGTTATGTATCTGCTGCTTCTATCTGCTACTTAAACTTATTCAAAACCAAAAGCACAGCTATGGTGGATCATTCTCTAGACTGCAAAGAACACAAAAAAGATTTTTGACTATCTTATGTTTTCTATAAGGTTTGCCTAAGAACTTATAAAGCCTCATAGCTTAACAGTAAATAATACGGGTAATCACAATTTATTAAATTATCCTATGTAGTTTGGATTCCATTTTCTTTTAACATATAGTATTGCACAGCATTATCCTCCAAGACAACTGTCATCTTCATAAGACAAGCTGTACCTGCTTTCAGAAGATCATCTCAGCTGGGCTTACTGACTATTGATGTTCCTTCACAAAAGATGGGGTAAGAAGGGTCACTGGACCCTCACCTGAGTACCCAGCTATTCTTCCCAGTGAGTTGTATATAACTGTGCCCTAACTGCAGATGGTCTTGTGGTCTTGGGGAGGAGCTTGGGTATCTAGTCTGGGGAAGACTAGGGAGAGGGGGCTCTACTTCTCTACTTGTGAATCTTGGGGAAGTCTTCATACTATGTGAAGACTTTCCAGTATGGCTGCTTTCAGGTCACCCTCACTCATTAGCAGCCCCTCACTCATGCTCTGTAAGTGGGACCTTATGAGGAGGGGATAATATTGCTTAGTCTCCCCAGAAAGAAAATTCTCACAATAGATGGTAAAGTTATTTGTTAATGTTACTATGCCTCATGGCATTAAGAAGGCAGTAAGCAGAAGAAAATGTTATAAGGATGTAAAAATGGATTTGTGTATTGAAGATAGCTGAATCTTTCCAACATAGAAAAGCTAAAAGCTTATACAAGTTATAAAGGTAATTTATTTAAGGTATGTAAAAGATGAGATTTAGAAATGATATACATGGTCTAAAATTTCTAAGGTTAAAGTTTAATCAAACTTCTATTTTAATCAATGGAACTATTGATCTGCAATAATTACAGGACTGTAATTATTTGCAATAATTAGCAACAATTACAAGGACTGGCTTAAAAAACAAAAATGCATGTCTAGTCAAAGTTTATTGAAAAGCATTTGGTTTTTGCCCAAGCTTTAGCTAAACATTACATAGTAGTTAAAAGTACCAGACTGGTGAAACTGATCTAGGTGTTCAATAACCAAACGTGGAGGCCTATACTAACATGGTAAGAGGGATTAAAAGAGCAATTATTTTGTCCCTTACCCTCCAAGGTCAACTAGGTCCCAGGGGAGTGAGGGGCATCTCTCAAAATGTTACATAGTTCTGGAAATTCACCTGTCCTTTTGTTCAGCAAAATCATGGAGACCCCATTAGGTGGACTCTAACTAATGTCAAGTCTACAAAAAGTAGGGTTCACAGAGAGGAAAACTTTCCTCAATGCTTCAGTCAAGGAAGCTACAGTCAAGGAAGACCCTTGACTTAACCTCACAGGGTGGACAAGTGGTAAAAGAAAGGCTAGAGAAAGCAAAGGCTCTGCCCAAGTCCAAGTGACCTCATCCTCAACTGGCCTTGACAGTAAAAAGAAAATGGTTAATTTGGGCCCTCAATAATACTAAACACCCAACAGGAAACCAAAGACTAAAATGACTCGTATATTTTTTAATAGTCCAAGAAATAACACTTCCGAGACAAAAGGCCTAAGTCTGTATGAGATGTTACTTAACAACTATTTCTTATTAATGATTTTTGTCTTGATAAGGAAAATGCTGCCCAGATAGGACATTATAACCTTGGCTCAATTCAATACCACAATGTCTACCTGCAATCGAGAGGGACAGGCCCACTATTATTTTAACCTAAAAATTAAATAATGGCTAAATTTCTTCTCTCTCTCCCTCTCTACAAAGCCATGTGGGAGGGCCCTCACACTGTGATTCTGGCCATTCCTATTAGAAAAGTGCTTGAAAACATCCTGGGTCACCACTCTTCATTCCAGCCTTGGAGGTCAAAAATAAAAATGAGAAAAAGCCCAATGGATGGATGCTCCTGTGAGCCTACCAATAAATTCTAATGGACTTTGATTTGGATAAAAGGTTAAAAAAAACAAAAAGGAAAAATAAAAATTGTTCTAGTTTCTCCTGGTTCCCTGTCTTGGACTTGTAATGCTAATAACTCTTGCCTTTACTTCTCCCTCACACCTCTTTCCAAGCACCAATCAAGGACTTTCTTTCCTCCTTGCATTTGGCTGTTACACAAATGGAATTGCCAATGCACTTTTGTACTTTTGGGGTCTTGGAGATAGGCCCACTGGGGCAGGTATGCTGACTGCCACTTCCTCAGCTAGAGGAAGCCTAATCAGTCATCACCCCAATTCTACAACAGCAGTTCAGGTAACCTCTTCAGAGGGGTAATGAATAGGAGGTAGAAATTGGTTAATCAGTTTACAGTAAAAAGACCCCAAAGAAAATAACCAGTTTCTTGGCTAAAAGTCAGCAATATCCTTGGGCCTCTTGGCAGCCTCATCCTTGACAGAGGCCAGAGATATCAACAAGTATTTGGGGGCTCTAGTCTCTGATCTGATTCCTAAATTATTTTAGGTTTACCTCTTCAGCTCGGGAGAATCTTAAGAGTAACAGTAAAGGCCCTTTAAGAAAAAAATTCCTTCTGGTCAAGAGAACAGAATCTCCCACCAAGGTGGAGACCTAAGTTTCCTTTTGGGACAAGTTTGCTACCTGGCCAAGGGACCAACCCTAGGAAGGCAGATTTACCTTAAATCATGCTAGAGATAGATGGAACAATGAATCCTTTAATGATATAATGCAGCTTCCCTTCCCAGAATCTCTGCCTCCAAGGCCAGTAGCTTTGTAAGGCTGCCCGCTTTCCAGAAAAGTGTGACTTCTCTTTTCATCTTTATTCTAAGTATGCTTTCCCTAACATGGTAGGCTTCTCAACACTTTGGACTTCTTTCTTTCTCTAAAGCTCCCTTCCCTGCCATGTGCTACTTATCCACAATGTGGCTGACCTCCATGCCAGTATAAACCACAGGATTTTTTTCCCCCTTCTCTCCTTCATTTTCCTCCTTTGGGCTGCTGCTGAGATTTACAGTTTGTCTGCCCTGCGGTGTTTTTAAGCTCTAATGAAATTGCCCTAGAGCTTTAAACAAAATAAAAACAAGCACCATGTAAAACATTCCAGTTCAATAATGTATTTCTAGAGATGATGGTGAGACACTCTTGTGTCATTTTGTGCTGCTTACCTCTTCAAAGCAATTCAACCAAAATTAGATCTCTTATTGCATATGTTTAAGGCATGAACTAAATAAACCTTGACTTTTTGTGCTTTTAGTTAATGGGGACATCACACATACATATATCCACAGACAGGCCTGGATGGGATAATTAGAATTCAGACCAGAGAAAGAATAGCTCATTTTATTTTGGGTAATAGAAAAGGCTTAAGAAACATAATCAGGGGCTAGAGAGATGGCTCAGCCATTAAGAGCACTGACTGCCCTTGCAGAGGACCCGGGTTCGATTCCCAGCACCCACATGGCAGCTGTGAACCATCCTTAACTTCAGTTCCAGAAGAATCCGAAGCCCTCTTGTGACCTCTGCAGCATTGCATGACATAGGTAC